GACCTTGAGTGTCTCCAAGGGTGCAACATCTGCCACCTCTCCGGGCAATCTGTTTCAGTGCCTCAACACCCTTATTGCAAAAAACAGTTTTCCTTATACCCAATCTGCAGGCTACAGAGAGGATCCCTCTTCCCCAAGTTCATCATAACCTTGGTGTCCAGCCAAAAAGGCTGTATCAGACACTCACTTGATCAGAGACACAACCTGCACCAAAATACTTTGATTCTGCCATCGTTGAGTAGCACGGGAAATGGAGAAAAAGCAGAAAAAAGAACCTTTCGCTCCAGCAGATGCAATCCTGCAAGCAGCTCTTGTGCAGAAGAAAACCACTTGCTGCAAAACAAGAATGATGCTCTGCGGCTGCAACCTGCAGGCAGCCCAAGAGCTGTGAGTTGCGCCCAGGACTGGGCTTTAGCCTGCAGAATGTTTCTGTTTGCCCGCTTGCAGCAGTTGTATATAAAGCACAATTCCTGTGTTTTTTTTTTTCATTCTATTTCTGTTCTCTTTCATCACGGATAAATTAACATGAAAGGAGCTGATGGGGCTAATTAGTTCCAAGCAGGGAATTGCTCTCCATTAATTTCTCTGCTTGGAACTCTTTGTAAATCAGTCAGATTGTTCCATTTTTGCAGCTTATATTTTAAAACCTCTTCATTCATAGCAACTAATCCTTTATTTCTTCTTGTTTTTCTATTTGATCCTGTAGGGAAAACATAATTCCACATAATTGGGACATGGGAATAATGCATGGTTGCAAGGGAGGTTTAGCCTTGAATGGAAATGTGTTCAACAAACAGTAGCTATGGCAAAAGCTGTGAAGAGATACATGGAGAGTGAGTTTAGAAACTGAATACAATCAGCTAGATGTAATGCCAGGAACTAACTCACCCTGATGCTTTCTCCCAGGCTTCTGCAGAGCAGGGAATAACTGCAATTTGTAAAGCAGGCTGCAAACCGGAGACAGTGCTTGAGGAGTAAGATGTTCCTCCATCCAAGTCATAGAATCATTGAAAGGTTTAAGTTTTAGGGGACCTTAAAGCCCATCCAGTTCCAACTCCCTGCCATGGGCAGGGTTGCCAACCACCAGATCAGGCTGCCCAGGGCCCCATCCAACCTGGTCTTGAATGCTTCCAGGTCAGCTGGAGTCATGTCACTGAGCTCTTGCCATGGACTTTCCCTTGTGGCCCTATAGCTTCAGGCATGACCACACAGATGGGCATCAGAGGTTGGGCTCCCATTCATAGGTGAGGATTTAAAGCGAGGTTTGCTCAGTAACTACAGATACTAAATAATTTGAACAAGTGGCAGATGCAACTTTTTCACATGCTCACTGCCAAGATTTGTATCTTTACTCTGACAGAAGAATAACTTACCTCATTTCCTGGGAAAATGGAGCTCCAGCTCTTCACGGGTTCCATTATTCACACCACTGAGTCCAGTGCTGTGAGCAGGATGCTTTCTGTAGAAGGTGAATAGGAATATTTTGAAAATTTAGGGGGAAAAAGGAAAAGAAAAAAAAAGAAAAAAAAAAAGAAAAAAAAAAAAGATTTTTTACTTCCTTCCTTGTTGTCATTCTGAATCTTGGACAACGTTCTCCCAGTTGCGTGTCCCCAGTGTCTGTATAACCATGCTCAAGATGACTAAACGATACCACGGTACGTAAATGCTGGTGAATGTCAAACACTCATGCTGGAAATGAAATCCAGCTTTTGTGGCTCATTTATCTCATTTCTCGATCTTTTTTTTTACTAGGTGGGTTTTGAGCCTAGTTTGTGTGGAAACCTCAAGGGGAAGCCAGGGTTCGTCCTCAGTCAGCAGAGAGCTTTTTCAGAAGCTTCTGCAGACATCCTTTAAAAACGAGGAAATAGCAAAACCGTGAGCTGGTTAGTAAATCCTTGGTCTCTTCCCAAGCAGTCTGGCTGTATTAGGATGCAGGTTTGTTCTGATAATCTGTTGGCAGATAACTCTAATGTAGATCAATCCAAAAATGAGGTAAAAAATCCAGCGTATTGAGAGATTGTTCATCTCTGTAGGCAAAACAACCACCTCTACCTTCCGTTCTGAATAAATTCAGATGTTAACTGAAGTGGCCTGGCATTTTTCCAGCGTACAGTAATTCTATTCCGCTTGCCTGAAATTCTCCTTTTAATACAGCTCTGATGAAATGCTTGTCATCTTCCCACTGCCCGCAGTGGTTGCAGTGCTGCAGGAGCAGTAGTGCCTATGGCAGCAATGAGGAAAGGGATTTCTTTAGAGGCGGGGATCAAACTTCCAAAAACATCCTCCATTGGCAAGGATCTGTTTCCTTTGAAGAAACCTGGATTTCTCACAGACGTCGCATCGATGGCGCTGAACGAAGCCAGCACAAGTGCCATCCCAGTGCTATGCTAACACGTACATCAGCATGCTGGTGCCATTTAGACTACTAGTTGACTGGAAAGAGAGAAGTTATACTCAGGAAAAAGTGGAGCTGGAACCCTAAAAATCAATGTAGTTAAATATGAACAGTGAGTATAGATGATAACTTTATTTCCACCGTGATGGTTTCCTTCAAAGCCATATTTTGCCTAATGTTTTTCTGGAACAGAAGTGGCTTAAAATCTTCAGTGAAAGTGAAGGAGCAAAGAGATGAAGTAAAAAATGCTCTTTGTATTTCAAGCAGTGTTTTGGTACAGCTGTTTGGCAAGTGCTATAAATGCTTATTTCAAGACTGAGAAGTTTATTTTAGAAACTTTTCCCCTTTATTGCTCCAAAACAGCAGCAAAACCCAACACTTCCCTGCCCATATACAACGTGTTACTAACTGAATCCAGCCTGAGAACTCCTGCAGGATGTCTGTGTCTTCTGAACATCCCAATCTCTCATTCTGAGCCGGAAAATGGAAGCCCTTTCCTCTAAACAGTAACAGCAGACACTTTTTTTCCCCACTACATTAATTAGGTACCTCAAAATCCTCCAACAAAGTAAGAAACACCATTAAATACGAAGCTTCATACCATAAATTCATAATCATTTTTGGAGTGGCAATCTGGGGTCATGTTCATCATCTGGTTATCATCCACAAGGAAACAGCAAGTGGAACTGCTGCCCAAATGGAAGGTGAACTTAAGAAAGCAACTAACAGAGTATCTTCTGCATCAAAAGACTGAGGAGCTTCTGCAGATAGAATAAAAAAAATATATATCCTCCAGATGATTTAAGAAGCTGACAAATATGGAGAGGCTTATTAATCACTGTGGTCTAACCGCATTTAACGGGAAGAAGCAAGAGAGTTTTGCTAACATGAAACCGGACCCAAAGGTGACAAAGTTTTTTGAAGATCATGGGTGGATCTACACTCTGTTTCAGAGGATGGGGATGCACTCAAAAGCTCCTGGACAATGACTGATTTCTGACTGACTTCTGTTCCTAACCAGTATCTAGAATAGGTACAGACATCCGTATTCAAGTAAGCTAACCCATTTAATACAAGGCAGAACTTCTGTGTGATGCAGAGCTGGAAGTCCTGATTTACAGTTCAGATACGTTAATACTTTCACATTGTTCTAAATATCTGAATCACACACTGAAAAACGCAACTATGCCGTTTCTATGAACTCATTTGCACGCAGGTAGTGCAAATGGAAGAAAAAATGTTGCTTTCTCCCAGATTTCTAACAGAATGATGTTTTTCCTAAGAAATCTTCAGTCTAGCACCTAAAGCACCTTACCAGATGGGATTTAGACATTCATTTCCTTTAGTATGTCCCACATGCAAAATTGTTGGGACTTTTATTGTAGGCTTTTCAGGGCAGAAACCTTTGGCATCTGCTTTGTCCATAAGCTGCTATCTCCTCTCCTTGCCCCATGTCCACCTGCACCCTTCCTCTCTCTGCTCTGAGCCTGAGAGCAGCAGGAGACCCCAACCCCCCCCCCGTTCCAGTTTGGTCACTGGCACTGGTGTTATCTGGCAGCTGCTCACCTGGTTGGAAACCAAGCAAATAAGTATTTAATGGGAATTATGAAAATTGACAAATATAAGGTTCAGCTTTTGTAAAAGCAGTTTCTGCCTCCAAATCCAAGGGTCACTGATTTCTTGCTCAAATTTTGACCAAGGCTGAGCTAAGCGGGTGAAAGAGGGGAGAAAAAGTTCAAATCTGATCTTTGGAACTGTGTCATTAAGTGCTTTGTGGCCCATCTGAAGCTGATCATGAGACAATTCCTGAAAGTAAAAGCCATGTAATAGAGACAGACAAATGTTAGGAGCTTGTCAGGCACATTCCCCTGGCAAGAAATCTCCTTCTCCTTTGTTACAAGTCTGGTTCTGTGCACTCCCTGTCCTTGAACTCGGTATTCCCTGAAATCCCCTGTAACTATTCACATTACTAAAGTGTTAGGGTGTTTACCTAGGAAGGTTAGCTCTGCTGATTTCAGCACTTAAAAGGGGAAACGGCTCTGTTGTTTTAACAACGTCAACACTTACCACCTCTGTTTATTTTTTTATCCCATTAAACTTCTGTTCAAAATCAAACAGGAAGCAATTAAGGTGAGTTCACTACAAAGAAGTTCTCGAAATACATAGCTGGGTCCCCAGTGCAGAACGAAGGTCATGCCCCTAGAATATAATTAAGCTTATTTGGAAAGAATGCAGATCCTATACACTGGGCTTGTGTGAAAAACACAGTAGCTCCACTTTACTTTCATTGAGCAGAGATCATGGATGGGCAAGCAGAGACCATGGATGGGCAAGATGGACATGATCGCTATCACCTTCATTGGGGCACATAGCTGAGTTGGCAAAGCATCAAGAACATTGGTCTAATCTACTGGAAGTAACAAGATGCATGAGGAAGACAAAAAGAAGCCAAACCCCCCACTAAGCTTCAAAACTACAATTTCTTCTCATCTAAACCCAATATGAATTTTCTAAAGTCATGCTCTGATGACAAAGAGAGGGATGTCAGGGAAACAAGCATCTAATGGCAACAGGGGAAAAAACAAAGGAAAGTCTTTACACAGGATTTAACTAATTATATTTTGGGCAAATATTTATTTATCTAAAAACAAAATAAAAATCATTTTTAAAAGAAAAAAATGTATTTAAATAAAAAACAAAATTGTGAAATGTTATGGCACACAAGTTCAAGACAAGTATAAATCCAGTTGCCACAACTGTTGTGTATTAATGTTGCACATTTTTCTATAAAGACTTTATTAAAGGTATTTACATGGCAAGAAGATGTGTAAATATTTACAGCAATCTGGGGACAACTCTTTTTGGAATTCTCTTAAGAAAAAATGCCTTAAATACAAAATTTTAAAAGAAAAAAAGTTGAAGAGTTCGTCCCCAAGCATGAAGAATGTCCCATCATCCCTTATGCCCAAAGTATCAATTATGAGGCAGTTTTGAGGTTCTGGCCAAACCGTTTGGAGATTCAGCCAAGGTTGTGTAGTCTCAAGTTAAGTCGCACAGCATGCAGTTGCAATAGTTCCATTCTCGATGGACTGGTGTAGTTCATGAGTGATATTAGAAACACTAATATTTTATCATAGTCTCAGTCTAGTTTGGGGTATTCTAAGTGATGTCCAAGAGTTCCTATGCACGAGAGTTCCTTAGCTGCTCAAGTTTGTGTTTCAACTGTTCTCTCCTCCGCCTCAACTGCTCTTTCTCTGCGATCAGTCTGTGCTCGTCCGATTGGATGGACAGAACGTACTCCGTGGCTTTTTTCAGGATGACAACCTTGGGCGCCTTCTCGTTGTTGGCCACCTCAGGTATCTGGTCACGTAAGGCAAAGAAACTCAGCTTCAGCTCATTCCTTCGCTGACGCTCCAAGACGTTGTGCGTTCGCCTCTTGTCGTTCTCCTCTGAGTCTGACGTGCGGGGACTGGAGCATTTTCGGTTGTTGCTGATCTGTTTGAGGACCCTGCCACTGTCCAACTTTAGCCTCTTGGCGGCTGGGTATTCCACCTTGGTGGAGGGAGGAGCAGCGTAGTTGTGCTGGTGGATGTTGACGTGACACCGCTTGAGGACCAGCGGACTGTGGTGGGGCTTACAGTGCTCCTCTGATGCTTCTGTGCAGGACTCTGTGCTGGATTCAGACTCGTTTGCTTCAGCTAATGTAACGACATCGATTTCCTCATCTTCTTCTTGTTCTTCTTCTGCACGGGAAAAAAATAGCATCATGAGCTGATCTGTGCAAAAACTCTCAGGGCAGCCTGACAAGGGGTTACTCCAAGCCACGGAGCAAGGAACCCATTGACAAACCTACTTCAAAACCATCCGACTCTGCAAGACTCCCCATTCCCTACCCAAGAGCCCTTCCCTTAAGGAAGCGGCATTTCAAGGGCTGCCCTCGGAACTCTGGCTCCCTGATTTCAAAAGTTGCACGGCTCTTGCGTAACTGCGAGCGCAGAGATAGCAGCAAAGTTTAACCTCGGCTGTCAGCAGCGCAGCGTAATAAAGCTCCCAGACTCAAGCTGCCCTTAATTAAGGATTTAGAAGGCTTTGGCCACGCCTCAAAAGAAGGCTTACTTAACACACATGTGTATTCAGAGACTCAGAGACATTTTCTCAATCTCTCTTGATCTGCTAATTTGTGGAAAATCTAAGTTAAAAAAAAAAAAAGGCAAAAAAACAACAAAACCTAAAAACCCGAAGGCTGCAGTGTTTGAGTAGCAACTCGCTTTCAACCCAAATTTATGAGCGAGCGGAACACGCTGTCAAATACCTAAGGAAGCATTTCTAAAACTTTCCCAGCCCCATTCACTCACTCCTCGCAGCCACTTTCACTGGCACCTCCCCGCCCGCATTCTCCCCGCGGCTCTCGGGCAGCAGTTAACTCCTTCCCGACCCGCGGGTGTCACCGAGAAGCGCACCCTCCTCTCCCGCGCTGGGGACATCAGGCAGTGACCCCGCTATGAAAGTTTCTCCCTATTTTTCTTTTTTGTTGTTGTTGACTCCTTCTTTCCTCCAAAAGAGTGAAGGGAAAACTGCTTTTCCAGGAAATAAACTCGCAGCGCGCCTCGCAAACGTGGCATTTAACACATTTAACAGAGCGGTGAGCGCAAGGGGGGAGAAGCGAAGCGAGGTCCCGCGAGCGGCGGGAAGGAGGAACGCACGGGTCCCCGACACGCGTGGGCGCCGCTCAC